AAATTACACAAAGTTTCACTCTGAAATACTTTTGCATGCCATCGATTTCAATCACCTCTGTTATATAGATCTCAACACCTGGTTTATTCACAATCACTCCAGAGGTTATAGGAAAAGCAAGGAGCGGTCGAGGGGAAGGGACAAGACTGAAAACGGCAGGTAAACAGACACGCATTTCCCATGGGCTCTAAGGTCAAGCGAATTAGCACTGGAATCCTGGTAAGAGTCGAATGTAGTCGCGACAACTAGGCAGTTGAAGCCAACGTCCGGTCGCCACTACCAACCACTGGTCGTAAATATGTATATGTATATATATGTATGTATATGTATATCGAATCGTGAACTAGATCCGTCAAATATTTCTTGATAAATGGAAATTGTCAATACAGTTGAAGGCGGCCTGCATGCGGTTCACACAGCGCAGCATTTGTTAGTGTACTTCGTTTAAATTAATTTTTTCCACCTACCATGTAGCTCTGTATAACTGATACCAGAATTATTAACCAATCATGTTACACACCATGAAAAGCTTTCAGACAAGTGCAGGACAAAAGACCAAAGGGAAGACCTATTAATCTAATAATTTATTATACTGGCTTAGTCTGACAAAATTACGCCCTACGCCGACGCCTGAAGAGGCAACGTATATCTCTATAATTTTTCATGGATTCGAGATGCACACGGCAGCAAAATGCGTATGTTTTTTCGGCCGAATGCCACATGAATTCTGCGAGTTAACAATGCACGGACAAGACGGTGGGGGATTTTCACCTCGATTAAAACCAAGGTTAAACAACGTAACAGGGTATATCAAAGGTGACACAAGTGCAGTCGTGTACACATTTTATTGTTAGAGAGAAACAGCGCTGTGCGGAATATTTGTTAAGATGCTGGCTACAAATGTTGGCGTGACGCGCGAAGGCCCCGGCGGTCATATTCAAATAGCCGCTGGTTTCCCTATGCAGATATTACCGAATCTGATCACCAAGAACGCCAGTGTGCCTGGCAACACGGTTCAAACAACAGATCCGTCAGGCTATAGGGTATATAAAAATAACACTCTGGCAATATCACGAAATATGAAAATCTATGCTTCAGTTGCTTTCCTCAAAGCAGTATATTTTATATTACGACGCGGTAAAATTTAGCATATTCAACAGCTTCTCGCGAAATTAGGAAAAGTAGTTTCCTATTATTTGTTAAATGAGGGATGAAGACTCACCATCTGCTTCAGAAGATGTTAAGGAAAACAAGGTAGTTGAGCAAGTCATTTAGTTAAACAAATTTCGAATTCTTAAATGTGGGGCTCTTTGTTGGCACAGGTTTCATTCATGTCCGTAATGCAATCATATTATACTCTGGTACCTGAGGACACATTCCACAGGGGTTGTGTACGTGATATTTTCGGCACAAAAAACAAAAGGAATGGATACAAATAGCTAGACGAATATAATAGAATTATTCCTCTTATGTCCCGGAGTTTGGACAGAACCTTTCCGTAGCTAGGTAATTCTGGAGAATAGTATTATTTACAGTGGAGTTCATTGGCATCCGCCGGAGGAAATCAAATTTATTCTTTTGCGACACATACTATTGCGCACAACTGGTGCCAACTGATGCCCTAACTGGAATTATGTTCCTACAATAGCATGATAACGAGCTTCTTAAAACGTGATAGGACGGTCACCCTTCATGCATCTATGCGTGTCAAAAAACCGCCACCAGTGTCACACAATATTGTGGAGAATGCCGGGACGTTACGCTCAAAGGGCACACCAAAAACTGCCTGGCCGTTTAGCGACAAACTTGGTGTGGCGTAGTTTAGGATATTCTCATAGGGATACGGAAAATCAAATGAGGCGTCTCCAAAACTGACCGACATGATATTTCTTAGAACGCATCTGAAACCCAATTAATGTAAGAAGTGAAGACAAGATTCAGTTTGCCTGGAGATTTGCAATGTAGTGTAAGTGTTTCTTCTGAGCGTATGCACCCTGATTCAGTGGTATGCATTTTGATAAATTCTGCATCCCAAATGCCGTCCTACGATTTCCGAAAACGTCTCCTGTGTAGAACAATTGTCATAGCTGTTTGATTGTGGTACACGACTTATTTTAATCGCGGAATACGTTGTGCTCACAAATATTTAAAGTCGTCTATTTAAACATAAAGTACCTATTGGGCATACTTGCGGTACCACCAAAAAATCGAAGCAGCTTGTCATTTGTTGCACACTGGAGTAAATTTTAAAAAAAATATTTGATCACTCCACGATGGATTCACTTTCCGCCATGCGGTAGGTGTCTACCACTCATATTCAAGTTCATACATCTCTTGCCGATAGACGATTTGTACGCACGCCATATTTTTTGATGAACCTCCAGTACGTCGGACCTAACGGATGTTTTGCATCCGCGCTCACAACCCTCTTCTAACATCACTTGAACTCGAAGGCCATCCCACCTGCCCGATACCGAGAAGCTCAACTGTCATCCCTGCTTTATTTGATTGTCACCAACAACGGACAACGTTGGTCAAATATTAATTATGACACCACTGGACCGTAGTGCGTTCTGTATGCTGATGTTTGATTTCATCCGATACTTGGTCAGAACAACAAACGTGCATATGCGGGCTTCCAAGAAATGAGTAGCGTTCTAAGCAGTTATAATCGGAGCCAGCGTAATAGTTTTACGGCACACTGATCAAGCCCACGAAATGCTTACCCGCAAACCTCTAATCATAACTAGCTTATCGCGCAAAATGACGAAGCACACGCTAAATCGAGCAATCCTGAATCACGTATCCAAGAGCAATTCCGCATCCCTAAGGAGTCACTGATTCCTTCCAAACCACTATTACACGATAGATTTGCACATAATTTAGGCATCCTTATCTAATTTAAGGGTGGCTGACCCACACAAATTAACTTGTTTAGGGTTGCATGGGATTTACCAGGTTTCTGAAAATTATTTTGCGGTCGAGGATTATACAGGCTTCTGCACCAAGAAATGTCGGAAAGTGTGTCCATATGCCATCCGTAGCCCTACAGGGTAGTGGACCACAACATTCATACGTACATTTAATTTCCTAATTCAAACTCTCGTACCTGAGGGTGAATGAGGCGAGGCATATTCTGTTATTTGGAATTCGTATGAGTCGGAAATGATACAGACATTTCTGCGAAATCAATTCACTACATAGACTCTCTAATGCGTGAGGAAAGTGGTAGCGTCACGTGCGTTGCTCATGATTACTCTGGTTTATAGGGATACCTTCGAAAGAAGTGGAAGTATCAAACCCAAAAACGTGGAAGTTATTAGACTAGCTATCTGTGGCCATGTTTTCGAAACCTTCGAATTCGGCTATTGGGCAATTGGGAATGAGCAAAGAATGATTCCCATTGAATGAGTGAAGCTCGCTGTGAACCGCTTTGGAAGTCAATACGAACCTGACCGATGTATGGCACTTATTCTGGTTAATTACCTAAAGCTTTGCTGACATACAGCATGCTGATGAATTAGCAATTAAGCAGATTTCACGTGATGATGCTAATGACTTTGTTGAAATGATGGCCATTTACGTTTTAGTAAAATTCAGCGTTTAAAAAGGTCTACTTGCCAAGTTGAAAACGTGCATTCCACTCAAATGCTCGGTTGATTTGGTAAAACAATTAAGGTGCATGCCGTTTCTAATCAGTCGACCGAATGGATAAATCGCAATCCAAGACGAATTAACAAGAACCTGACAGCACCATACTGTCACAGGAGACGAAGAGATATTTTCAAATTTTTTTTTAACTAGAATAACGCCGATAAAAGCAAATTACGAAATCCAGTCATTCAGTGTCTACATTTCTTTATGTGTGCGCGGTATAACAAACAAATTCCGAACGAGATAGAATTCTGAGAAGCATGAACGTCAGCTTAAAACATTACCTGGTGTGGTGAAAGTAGCCAACAATATCCCCAACTACACATCCTAACTACTGACATTCCGCGGTATGCTTGGTTGGACTCTCAGTTGTAGGTCTTAAACGGCTTTCGTCCTCAAGGCACGTTATTCAGAAGTTCCGGGCCACACAAATGTGTAACCCTTATAACTCTACTTTGGCGGGTTTCGATTACACAATGGCGTGCCAAGGTTAGTGGATCACATTTTTAATATTTAGCAATTAGTATATCGAAGTGACTTCTAGGAGTTGCGCGTTTCACTTTCAAAAATTCTCCACTAAATCAGTAAATACAAAAAGCAAGTGAAAATCAGAATACTGTTAGTATATTTGCTAACCTGCAAGAAGAATACCAAGCAACAGGGTTGCTAAGACACCGGTTACCAGAGTTTTCATTACCATCTCGGACGTGGATGAAAGTTGGAGTAGATTATGCGTACAATTTATACATTTCTTCCCGCCACAAATCATGCACACATTCTGTCATATTTATGCATGTATGTACATGCGCCCGCTGATTTCAGGTTGTTGCTTTCCACGGTGCATATTGCGTGACTCACCGCAACGTTCGCGTGGGTTATTTCTATTGTATTAGGACCCGCTTACTTGCAATCTTGACAATTATTTTCACCATTACAACAGTTTCAGAGACGCACTAGTAACGCTTGTTTGAGAATAAATGGCTCATTGGCAACGAGCTAGAAAACTGACGTTTGTGAAAGTTCATAACAGATTAATGCATTTTCTGCAACTTGTCTTTGCGAATAAGTAAACTAAAACAACACCAGAAAGTAATTATTTTCGTATCTGAAGTCACTTTCGAAAGATTGCTGCGCCTAATCAATGTTTATTTTGAATTGTTTTAGATTTCAGATCGCTACTCCCACAAGTCACATTAAAGTGCGCTTCTATGCAGCTTATTGGTATTTTTTGATGCTCAAGCGATCTGATGACTAGTTCAACTTTGGTTGTTTTTTTCTAGTTTTTAATTGAAGTAGACGAACCCTCTGAATATTGTCCATATTTTTGTTAGTTTGACCTAAGTCACAGCTAACTAGCTTCAATTGGCTACCAAATATTTGCAGAAAAATGATGCAATACGTTGCTGGTATCACTGAAGACAGCGCATTTTACTGCAATTATTATACATTTTACAATACTAGCCATCAAGGGAGCATGAAGTCGCATGCACAAATTGACAAAGTCGTTTGTCTTGGAATAGAAAATGGCGATATGCACCCACACTTGAACTCGCTCAGCATCATGACGCATCAGCGCACAACGCTCTCGCAGTTCGTTGATCTCATCTATACATGCTTACAGCTCGAAAAGGCGCTTCGCCAACCATTGTATGACTAGTATTGTACGTGATTTCATTGTGCGTTTACTGGCATCGGCGATTAGTTGGCGATAATGAGTGCATGCACGAAAGTGATCAGCCATATGCAATCTAACCCATATACCATCACGAGCTGCTAAAGTTCATACTTTACGAAAGTTCTTTTTAGTGATCGGGCTAACACGTTCGCACTGATTTGCGGATCCGTATGGTCGCCTGCCGCAAATAAAATATATTTAGTTACATTGGACTTTGTGAGAGTGCAGGTAGACGGCGGTCGTTGTTCATTGATTTGACGTATATACGACAACTATATCATTAGGTGGTGTACAGAGCTTGTTGATGCAAATTTACCCGCTCAGAATGGGGATTGGTAAACATATGTCTTGAGGTGATAACTCAGCCACATTTCCTCTACTTCTCCTTTACCTAGGAAAACTTACCCATTGATGTTTTTAGGGTGAACATTTCAAGTTTACAACAATCGTAACGTCAGGCAAGTAAGATATTTAGATATCGTCAAAATTTTCAATCGTACGAAGTCGGATACAACATAAACACGAGCTACAGAAAATTGGTATAGATCTCGAAATCGGTCCTAAAAAGTTGGACAAAATGCTGGAAAAGTTGAAGAAGGTTTTGGCTGCCACCATCAAGAAGGCGTCTCCAAATTGCCGATGTTCACCAACGCCCGAGCGTTCTCTAAAGTGCACAGCCGGGACTGAAATGGACGAAGGTCACTCTAGCATCAACCAGATTACGGCGGTAGGGAATGCCAAGCTCAAAAGTGACGTGGGCATCGGCGAATGGGGACACAGGACAACGGAGCAACCGAGGGAATCGCCCGACCGAACAACTAATCGCGATCAGAGGTCATCCCTGCTAGCAGCATGTATATCAACTCACGCACAACACTACTCAAGGCACAACCACCAACCCACCGCTACGCACCAACTTGCCCAGCTTAGTGAGCAAGCCAACGACCACCAGTACACAGCATAACAACGTTGTTTCATTTAGCTTCGGAACGTCATGAGGCCCAAATGAATAAGGCAGTTCACTTGAAAAATGGCCTTAAATGTAATAAATATGATGTCTTAAACACATTATAGACAAGAATAAGGTTATTCACATTGCTGACACTAGATTAGAATCTGCATGTTTTAGTGCGCCTCAGCTGAAAATGAAAGTAACTTTGCCAGGGCTAAACTGTGTGAGTTGCTATATTCTTGCCTATACTCGTAACGGCATTTCATGGAAATTTTCGGGAAATTTCCGTGGATTAATTATTCAGTATTCATCAAAAGGCCTCGTGTGTCTGTTACTTTTGACCCTGTAAAATATAGACGACTTAGCTAATTTATTTCAAAAGTCACAAGGGTTACTGTGCTCACCGAAATCAACCAAAGTAATGAGATGAGCATATGAGAGATCAGCAACGCTGAGTCACCGGTACACAACTGATTCAAAGTGATTTTAGCTCAGTGATTTTATTACAATGTGCAAAAGAGGGTACACCACTATCGTCGGTAAACCCACTTTATTCACTTCACAATCACAACCAACGTCAGACTCTGCTTGACTGTCAGTCAATCAATTGTTGACAAGCCACGCGCTTTGTCATCGCAGTGAGTGCTGTGATTCATAGCTTAGTTTGAGAAACCAACATGGATAATGTACACCGTGTTTAGCAAAACGGGTTTGCCACTCTGCCTAAATAGTGCTTATATATATATATATTTATATATATATAATGACAGGGGATGCAAAGCGGTGCGGCTGATGTTGCTGAAAAATTAAATCATTTCCCTTCCCCGTGCCGACCTGAAAGGAAAATCAGCTCATTATAATCGTCTGCATAAATACCAGATACAGGGCTTTTCCTGGGAAGACTCAAGTCTCAGCTGAGCGAATGGGCTTACAGCATTTTACTCTGAGTGATGTGGTGTGAACCCGGACACGCTAATAACCACCCGAAAAAATGATCTGCAACTAATGACCAGCAACTAATGCAATCAAATGTTTATTAGTATATATTATATATATATATTTATATATATATAATGACAGGGGATGCAAAGCGGTGCGGCTGATGTTGCTGAAAAATTAAATCATTTCCCTTCCCCGTGCCGACCTGAAAGGAAAATCAGCTCATTATAATCGTCTGCATAAATACCAGATACAGGGCTTTTCCTGGGAAGACTCAAGTCTCAGCTGAGCGAATGGGCTTACAGCATTTTACTCTGAGTGATGTGGTGTGAACCCGGACACGCTAATAACCACCCGAAAAAATGATCTGCAACTAATGACCAGCAACTAATGCAATCAAATGTTTATTAGTTTCTGAATAGAATAAAAGTTTTGGGAAATTTTTCTGTAAATGGATGCGCTTGGTCAATGTACTTTTTGTTTAACATGCATGCATACAGGTAAAGGCGACGTGGTTGAATAAACATTTCCAGAGCAAATTTCACGATGATTTTATGATAAAAAATTTTAGACTTTTCAGTTTTGTGGAAAACACCTTTCGTTTTACACAAATTAACATAGTGGTCAACATATTAGATTAAATAAAACTGTTCTTGCACTCAACAATAATTTCTCTGATAAGTGCATTTTTTTAAAGAAATGAAAGTGATTATGCCTCAGTGACGGGCTAGCAACCATGCTTTAAATGATATGCGGCATATAATTGTTGCACGTGAATCCATGTCGAGGCTGACTTGAACCAATAGATAGAACCAAAAAATAAATACCACGAAACGAGAAAATGTTGATCCCATTGTAAGTTCTTAAGCCTGTTTGAACTGGCCAGTACATTTGAATATCTGGCAAGAAACTTGAATAACTGGTTGTTCCTGGTGTCTCACACTACGAATACCCACACCGGCCGACAGGCACTGTTCTACCAAATCCGCAACTATGAAGCCGAGGTGAATGTGTACGTCGGACCTCGTTTACAAACCTGCTTGAGAGATTAGGGGTAGATTAGTTTTTGTCTGAGGTGCCCAGGTTCTTAATGTTGCAAACGTTCTCCCCCACACGCTTTAGAGATATTTATACGGTTAAGCATCACATACTAAGTAAATGTGAACAGCGCAATCCCCACGCGCAGTAGACACTTTTACCGTCATGGGACAAAAGTTCCGAACTGGTAAAAGACCAATTTGAGCGCCTTTGCTGATGACATTATCGTTTGAAACTATGTTAATTGGAAAAGCTGGCAAGGTTTAGGCAACGGCTAAGTAGGACGAAGATTACCGAGTCTCTGGCGGCTAAGAGAAATCGCAACTGCTTGTTTGGTGCGCTGAACTTTCATGTTAAATCTCACAAGGCTCAAAAATAACACTTAATTCACTAGTTGACAGGTGAATGTCAAAACGTTTGCTGTGAAAGCAACGTTGAAGTTGGCGGCACTGAATTTTTGAATGAATCTGAAGACGTTCAGCCAGCGAATAGCTTCCGTCCTTCAGATGGGTGTACGATTGTCGGGACAGTTGATTGTTTGGAAGCAAAATCAATGCTTGACCGAATATTGCGGGAAAGAAATAGATGTGGCACTTTCGTAGCATAGAAACAGTGTAACTGTTGAGACTAGATAATTTAAGAGCGGATATTGCCGCGATATATCAGTCTCGGTGCTCAATAGTATATTTACGAAAACTTCACATTGGGTGGGGATGGATATCAGTCAGGGAGTGAACAGTCACTGGTCGGTTGTTACATGAAACTAACTCCCATGAACTTGGCGATTTGTTCGACCAAGTGAATATAAAAAATGGGACATGAAACTCCCGCACCTCATTGAGAGAGTGAGTAATCTAAAGCTGGTAGCCGTAACTCATCATCACAAGGAAACCATTGGGCGTAAAACCTGCAAGTTTGATTATTTCAAAGCTACTCCAGGTTTTCGTCAACGACTCACTGTCAGCAACTCTGTTAACCGTGTTGTAAACAAAGTACCGTGATGTTACTGGATTTTCCAATGTGTGACTGCTATCAACAAGGCAGTAGGTAGAAGTGGAGATTTCAGTGTTCACAATGACATTTTCCAGCATAATGACATACAGTTCGATGCCGTTCTAAACGGCCTCGCCGAATTTTATCCAACCATTAGGTCAAGAACGTAAACCAACATGTGTTCAGTATACTTGGTGACTTCTTGCAATCAAGATGCCCTATCGCTGAGGCTCATTAAGGGCCTTTGAGGCAGACCCTAGATATGGAGAAAAACAAACAAGGCTCCAATTCCTAGAGCTGATAAGCCGGAAAACGCGTCAGCACCCTTTGGTGGATTCGTTTCAATTCGTGCACTGAATAATAGACCTAGATCGCTGGGAAAGACAATGCGTTGTTCTGACGTAGCCGGTTAATCAAGTGGTAAATTGGAAAAACAACTTTTATTAGCCCATTCCATTTAAGGAAGTATGGAAGCATCTCCCGTCGTGAAAACGGAATGCGCAGCACTTGCACAATAACATGATTTGTTATAAAATTTGTAGCATTGTATTGGGTCACTACCCTGCAACACAGTCCAGCGCATACCGGAAGGGGAAACCAAGAGTCCGTTCACCCTCCTAGATGTTGCCTCAAAATCCGCCACGCCAGCATGCGGAAACAAACGCGTTGAAAGAGAACCTTATAAAATCTGGGTAATAAATGTATCCAAACGGCTTCGTGTCGCAGCGGCGGATCAAAGGAAGACTCCCCGGTTAAAGGTGAAATACCGGTAAACCTACTGAAAAATTGGGATTTAAACTATGTCGAACAACGTAGTCAAGCCATTCCGAAGCTGATTCACCTGCAATGTTCAAAGCAAGGGTTCCCACATACGCCTAAAATTTGTCAATTTATTATCTTGCTAATGTGTAGTGGAAGTACATGAATGCTGGGATCGTATTTGGTGTATTGGCGCGACTTGTTTTGAATGTTTACTGGCAACCCTTCGGGTACGCGGTACATAATGTAAAGCGATTCCTTTGGACTAGTTTCGTGCTCAGTGTGCCAATTAATAATATTCGAATAAGGATTTCTCGTAAACCTTTGAATCTAACGATGCTCGGTAAGAGAAATGCTTGCGCACGCTCTGGAAAGAGGCGATGTAGTGTACCAAACACAGGCCACTGAATAACAGTGGAATAAATGATGCACGGCCTTATTCTGGGTGACGAGTAGGACTTTTACATTGAGGTTCGAATTCTGCATTTTAATGGACTTAAAAGAAGACTGCAGAGTTCTACCCAAAGTGTGCAAACTGCCTGCGTGTTCCATCAAAATCCCAAGATTAGCCATTTGATTACTCAACAGATACAGAGAGCTTAATAAATTCAGTTTACCAAACTTGACCCCGTATACAGGAATGGCCCGTTTATTCTGCTTCCACCCAAGAGCCCTTTTTGGGGATTCAGTTTTTTAAAATTCCTCTTTTTTATTTATCCTCCTTGATCGCTCCTCCATTTTCTTCTGTTCTATTTTTACTTCCTTTTATTGATGTATTTTCCCGTTTGCCTTCCCCTCCTGGGTTTGCGCGAGGTGAATATAGCGCGCCGCAAAAACTGAGGTAACGCGATTATTCATATCGAGCGAATCAAATCAGGCTTTCACAGGTATTATCAGCGACATGGTCAACGTGGCCAAAAAAGTGAATTCAACGTACATGGGATTGCCATGCGAGAAGTACCTGGTGGGTTATTTTGCTGCTGTCCTACCATGAATCCATTTAACTTTTCGTCAATCGTTGGAGTTTTCACCAACGGAGTTTTCAAACCGCTATCCGACCCACTGGAACAAGAAAAATGGTATTAGAAATGTGCTGTTGTGGCTAAATTCCCTTTTATAAACAGCTGTCGCGCTTTTGGGTGTTTAAACCCTTATTGTATTCCAGGCGGCTTCCCATTCACACAACTATGAACCGCGAACTACGCAGACCGGCTTTTAAATGCAGTCATCAAGGGAGTTGCCTTGCAGTCTAGAAAATGCGGCTCAACAAGAGAGAAAGGGCC